TATTATAAGAAACCTTTGAAAGAATTTTAAATTTTAATTTCTCCCTTGTTTCTGTTTTAACTCTGGCCCCAGGAAGACTCTGATCTTACCTTACTATTCGAGTTTCCAAGCCAAAAATATTTTAAAGGCTCAAAGAAACAGAGAAATACTGTAAAAACAAAAGACGGTAGACAACAATATCTGTTTCTGTTAGCTGAGTATGAACAGCTAAATATTTAATTGCTAAACCAAAGTTTATCAAGGAAAGAGGTTATTTATGGTGCTAATTATAGTTAAGCATGTAATGAATAATACCAAGTACAGAAAAAGGAGAAAGACCAAGGAACACAAGGAATAATTTTCCCTCAAGTTTTTGCCCCATTGTGGAATTATTCTTCTAAAGGCGAGTGATTAAATAAGGAATCCTGAACACCCAAGCAAGTGATTAAATAAGGAACCCTGAACACCCAAATTTGTTCTTGAAAGATATTGGGTTTCCTCTGAAGGAAATGACTATAGGAAGAACACTGCTTCAATCACTAGCTAAACAATGAACTAGATGACCTAATAAGGCTTTCCCATCTTTGATATCTTGATACTCATGTTTATTCATCTTCCTGTTGTTTAATTTTTTTTTTTTTTTAAATGAGACAGAGTCTCACTCTGTTGCCTGGGCTGGAATACAGTGGTGTAATCTCAGCTCACTGCAACCTCTGCCTCCCAGGTTCAAGCGATTCTCCTGCCTCAGCCTCCCAAGTAGTTGGAATTATAGGTGTGCACCACCGTGCCTGGCTATTTTGTATTTTTACTATAGATGGGGTTTCACCATGTTGGCCAGGCTGGTCTCAAACTCCTGACCTCAAGAGATCTATCTGCCTTGGCCTCCCAAAGTGCTGGGATTACAGGTATGAGCCATTGCCCCTGGCCCCTGTTGTTTGATTTTTAAAAATCTTTTTATGGAACTTCTGAAAACTTTTGTGAAAAAGACTCAAGTGGAAATAGCTTATTCACTGACAGTAGAGAAACAATGAAAACAGCTCCCTACTCATTTCACTGAAGAAGTAATAAGTAGAAGTAAATATTCACTTGAAGTAGAGACAGTAAATATTCACTTCTTCATTCATTTAACAATTATTCTTTCAGTGCTTATTATGTGCCAGGCTGTATTCTATGAGTACGAAAGTTTGACATCCTAACTCTTTACCAACCTAATGTCTTGGTTAAAAAAAAAATAGGCATAATGTACATATAACATACTTGATTCTCTGATCCATGAATGAAAGAAATCAATATTATATAAAATGGGAGGGTGCTGTGTGAGAGGAAGAGACTGAGGATGACTCTTGCTTTCAGTGAGCAACAAAATAATTCTATACATGCTGCTCTCAACTCTGTTTTCTCAGTTTGCATGTCCAGGAGCTGTGCTCTATGAGGATATAGGATGTGGGAGTGGAAAAGATTGACTTAGGCCCAGCTTTCACTGTCCTATAGTGGTGGGTCCCATGTACCTACTCTAATATTCCTTTAAGCTAGTTCTAGGGGTCAAGAATCCTAAGATGAGGAATAAAGCTCATCAGCAGACAGGAATAAAATGACACAATTTTGCCTGGAGATGTTCAAGGTGCAGTAAAGTACTGTGCAACTTTTGTATGATGGAAATTGTGTGAGATATTGGTGATAGAAAGTAAACAAAACAAAGATTAAGACCTTCAAGGAACCTGCAATTTAAAGGAGGTGGATATAAATCTAGCCACCTATGATGCAGTAAAGTTTTATACTTATACTTTGAACAAAGTTGACTGCAGAACTCTCAAATTTATTTGATCATGGGAAGAAATTAAAAATTGTAAATGTAAAAATTGTAATGTATCTAATAAATATCGACAGAAGATTATTAGTTATAGTAAGAGTATGGGAAAGATAAACAACCAAAAGGAAAAACCAAAAAAGAAAAAAAAAAAACCTAATAAATGAATTTAAAATGAATGCTTTGCTGTAAGAAATGACAAAAAATTTATTCATTGCTTTAATACACAATAAATATTGGGTATCAGAATGTTGTCAAATTATGACATTAACCAGTCAGCCTTCAACAGAAAAGCCCCCACAACTCTCTGCTTACTTAATTGCTGCCCATATGAGGGTACACAGGTTAAAATGTCAATATATCAACTGATTTCAAGAAACTTATTTTAAAAGAGATGATTTTCCATTAGGGAGACTAAATATATATGGCTACATTTGAAATTATTTATATGCTTAAAATATATTTTGAAAGAAAACACACTACAAGCATTGGTGTAGTACTTTTGTGGAGCTCCTATTAGCACCTCCTGTAATATGATGCTCTTTGCCATGTGGACAGGAAGAGTAAGGGTGCTATGGACTAAGAAATAAATCAATCACTATGAGTGAGAATGTGAACTTGAGGGTGTGTTGAAAACAACACTATAGCCTGAGCCAAAGGAATTTGACATGAGGCAGTCTGGTAGGGGTCAGTTTTTGAAAGGAACTCAGTGACTCTGTCTCTGACTCCTAACATCCTCTCTGGTAAAATTAAAAGTCAATCACGTTTCAGCGTTTACATTTTCCTGTTTTCTTTAGGCCTTGCCATATTTCATTACCAATGAGCCATCTGTACCTATGCCATCAGTTTTATTTAAAAAAATTACCCTGAAGCCCTTATACGTTCTAGACAATGTGCTAGAGTTGACATGTAAGATCATGTTTATTTTCATGAAGAATTTGCAAAAGTAGTATTATGAAACCAATTTTATAGTTGAGAAAACTGAAGCTGAATCCTTATGAGAATCCAGCCTATCTAACTTGAAGTTCATTTTGCTTTAATAGTTGAGCTTTGTAATGGCATTTCCCTACGTGGGTTCCACAGAGGATAAAACATGAGACAAAAGAACTCTATGGTCAAAGGAGATCAAATTGTGCTACATCTCTCCCTTGAAGACTCACATTTTTTTTGGTTTAATAGGCCCCCTGAAGTCTGAAAGAAGGAGATCTGTTTTATTTCCTTCATCTAAGTATTTCATAAATTTAGTTGACTGTCAGAGAATTTTCCTTTTCCTGGTAAAATGTTTAATATTCCAGGAAATACTTTGGGAAACTATGCCTTAGAATATATTGGGAGAACCCTATCAATTAGAACTCATTTAGAATGAAAAAAAAAAAAAAAAAAAAGCCTTACTGTATGCTCTTAAGTTGATCTTTGTCAAAGTGAGAGTCATGACTTATTGGGTTGTGAAATCAATTAAGTCCTCATCTGCAATTGGGGTGGGGAGGAAAGAATGGCAAGAAAAATATCAAGGTTGTTACATGCAGTACAGGTAAGTACTGAATCATGAAATTTTTACTGGCTCGCTATGCAATGTGCATTTCTCTCTGTGGTCATGGCCAAAAACGTCTGAAGCCACTACTTTCCTGAAAGTCACATGAATTGCTTGCTGTGCCAGGAGTTAGGTGATAACTAATGTCTGAATGTTGTCAAATTAACACAAAAGGGCCTACTGTAACACCATGGTTAAATACATTATTTGTTATTACCTAAAATCAGAGGATTTTAGATCTCAAATATCTCATAGGGGAGAGACCAAAATAGATGTTTAGTCTGACTTGCCAAGGTCAGACAGCTGTTAGCTGGGTCTGGAACCTAGATCTCCTGATGTGCATCTCCAGTATTCTTTTACTTGTCAGTGTAAATTGACAAATTTTTAATGTATGGAATGCTTAGGGTCATTTCTTTTTAATGAATAGAAAAACCTGGTGTAAAATTTAGCTAATCACTCCTGGATAGCTAGTCAATGACAGGTTACAAAAATGCTACAGGTTTTAATTGAAATAAAAAGTAAGATAGAGACATTTCAGTGCTGGGGTGTAATTCTAATTCCAATTAATTAGTAAATGACCCAATACCCTGCTTTACCAGGTGGGGCCAATTAGTTATCTAATTCCTCATTTGTGTATGTAAATGTCCTCAATATGAGTTTGAGAAGACTTAGCAGATAAAACATAAGTGAACACCAAATCTTTCGATGCTTAAGTTAAAGGCACAACTATCACTGTACCTCTCTAGGAATAAATAATGAATCGAAGTTATAGGAAACCCTCCAAACTCACATTGCTTTTAAAAAAGAACAGGAACTATGACTTATCTAAGCATTTCATAGCAAGATAAACACTAGCTCGTTTTATTGTAGAGAGGCCTCTTCAAGACTCTGTCCAGCTGAAGTCTTGAAGTTCATATCTAAATTTGTGCCTACTCACTCCTGGCTAGTGGACGGGTCAGTGGAGGTTGGAACTATTTCCTTTTCCTCCTGCCTGCTTTCTGGAAAGCACCCACAGGTGTCTACGCTTGGGAGGTGGGCCTGGGCTAGGATTCCAGCAAACTCTCAGGTTGGTGTCATTTCCTCTAAGGAAGCGCTAGGCCACAGTGGGCAGATATCATTTGATAACTTAATCTGGGTGTGAGGAAGAGTCCCTGAGGCCTGTGCACTCGAGTGATAAACCGAAGCATCCGGGTGAGTCAAGGAAGGGACGCGGTATCTTTTAAAACTAATATAAATGAATAAAGCCTAAACAAGAGCTTAGAGAAGGACACCCACTCCCAAAACGTGGGGGTGACTGGTGCCTGGAGGGGAGATCACCGAGTGGTTAAGATCTGGAGGTTCCAGGGCTTCTCTTCGGGGAGAATTCCCTGGCTGGGAGAACAGTGGAGGCTGGAGGAGGTGAATTTCCTACAGCCCAGGACCAGCCCTAGGACCCTCCCCCTTCCTATAATTAACTCGACTGCGCGTCCAGCCAGTCTGGACCCGTGGCGCCCCTGGACCCTCCCCTCCTCTCGCCCTAGGCGGAGAAGGAGAGGCTCCAGGGTGGGAGGTCGAGCACGGGCCACACAAACCCCGGAGCGGTCTCCAATCCTGACCCGGTGCGAGGGGCGCGGGTTCGGGCCCCGCGTGACGTGGGCGCCACGGCGGGAGGGGCCGTCCTGGGAGCTCCGGCCGCCTTATTAGCGCCCCGCGGGTCGCCGGCAGCCAGCAGACTGCCGCGCTGCGAGCAACAGGAGCCTGCGAGCGGCCCACTCCTCCCACCTCCTCCGCCTGCCTCCTCCTCCTCCCCTTCGCTCCTCCCGCCCCCACCTCTGCGTGTGCGGCGGAGTCGCCCTCTCCCTGCCTCTTTCTCCCGCTCCCGCTAGCTCGTCTCTCTCGCTAATACTTCCCCCTGCTGTGCTCCGGGGAATCCAAGCATTCTTCGCGCTAACCTTAGGGACCAATGGTGCTCGAAAAGCCTCGGAAAAGCTGCTTTGGGCAGTGATAGTTGGAAAGCCCCTCGTCCCTTCCCCCTCTCCCGGGCGCAGCCAGTGCCCGCCTGCAGCACCTTCTCGCTCCTGCACACTCTGTTTGGGAGGACGGGGTGAGAAGGTGAAGTGGAAAGAACTGCAGAGCAGAGGGGGCCAGTCTCAGAGCTCAAATTTCATTTTCATTGAAGCAAAGCACAGAAGATCATTTTTTTCTATTTTGCATTTTTCCCTTTTCTTTTTTTTTTTTTTCCTTAAACTTATTTTGGGGGAGGTTTGCTCTGGGCATTTGCTTTGCCCAGTAGTTGGAAAGTGAACTCGACTCGTGATGGTTCTCCTGTCACTTTGGTTGATAGCAGCCGCTCTGGTAGTGGTTAGGACTTCAGCTGATGGACAAGTAAGTGGAAAATAATAACAATATAAAACTCAAACCCAACCTTTTCCCGAAAAGTTCCTCCCCTCTCTACCCTCCTCTCTTTCCTCCTTCTCCTCCCTCCCTTCCCTGTTATCTTTTGCGTTCAGGAACGGTGTTTTGAGGGCTGGGCGCAGCGTGCGGGCTTTTAAGGGTGGAGGGTTGAGTTGCACGGGAGGCTGTGACTCCCACTCCAGGAGTCCAGGCTTGTCACACCTAGGGCTTCACCAGTCTGCGACATTCGTAGTAATTCCTGGTGACAAATCGCAGCCAGTTCCCATCCTCGCCGCGCCATCTGGGCTTCCCCTTTCTGGAGGGCGGTCTGGGCGCTTGAATGAAGTTCTGGACGCTGGGTCTGGGATCCCAGCGCTCTGGCTGCTGCCTCGGGAGTTGGGTTCCCGGGGCTTTCTCTCGTCCGAACTGACTCACGGTTTTTTCGTGCAGCCGGAGGCGGGGGTTTCAGGAAGTCCTTGAGCCGGACAGGGAGAGATCCAGTAGACACGTGTCCTGGGAGGACTACTGCGGGGTTAGGGTTTGACAGTTGGGGAGGGGGGCTGGAGACGTTTCCTGCCCTGCGTTTTCCTGGGCAGAGGCTACCGGCGCCGGCCGCCTTCTCCCCTCCCCCTCTGCACAACTCCTCCTCTTTTTAAAGCTAAGTTTAGTGCAGCTCTGTTTCTTTTCGGCCCTGCCCCCAACCCTTTGGAGACTCAAGGTGAAGCCCGATGCTCTCAGAAGAGTCCTTGAGAAGGCTCCGCCAGGGGAGCCGTTTGTAGTAAATCATATCAGCACTGGGCCGATGGGACTTTGGGTACAGAATTTCTCTGTTACTTTTCCTGGCTTCTCCCGGCTGCCTGTTCTGATCGACCTTAGGGTAAAAAGTAGAGAATTGTCTAGTTGAGTCCTGAGCTTAAATCTGATGAATCAGGCCCCCTGTTAGGCTTCTTTTGGCCAGTTTAAATTCATGGACTGTCTTTTCTAATCCAGATCCAGTATGAGTTTTCACAAGAGAGTATTGAGTGTCAGGATTTATTTTCGCTGGCTTCGTAAGTGTTAAATTAAAATGAAAAGGGGTAAACAATTCCCTTCCCCAAATTGTTATGAAATTGGCTCATGCTCCTGTCACGAGAACCTTCTACAAACCAAGGTGCAGCCTTTAGGCACCAATCCCAGTCTCTAGCATCTCCTGATTAGTTAGCTCCTGGAAAGCATTAATAGTAGAAATAAAACTCACAAGGTGATAAGATGAAACCCAGTAACTGTTTCTTTTTCTTGCTTTCCCCCTCCTTTCCAGGCTGGTAACGAAGAAATGGTGCAAATAGGTAAGCTTTGTTCTCAGATGTCACTCTTATCTTAAGTTGAAAGTAAGGGAGTGAAGTGAGCTAAGCAAAATATTGTTTCTGAAATGTTTCCCATTGGTGGTTAAAAAAAAAATAATTTGTAGTCTCCTAACATTCCTGTTCTTCTCTTCCTCTTTCTGGAGGAAGGTCCCACTTTCCCTCAGGCTAAATTATAGTGAGGTAAACATTCTCCTGCAGTTGGGCATTTCAAGCATCAATTTATTACTGTCTTTGTACAAGCCCCTGATATGCAGTTGGAAGGTGATGGAGAGGCTGGAAGATGATATGGAGATGAAAGAAATAAAATCAACTTCTGTAGCATTTTAGGAGGAGCACATTTGAGTACAACAGAAGGCAAGAATGCTTCATAGAAGGGAACAATGAGTACAGAGGACGGAAATTTTTCTCTTAGAATCTTTCTTGCTTTGAGTAAATCTTCTGATGACTTCTGTTATTCAATCTGCTTTAAAATATCCCTTATGTGAAAGATAATGTTAGACCTTTTGCTAATATCTAAAATCCCAATACTACCTGATGCTGTGAAGATTCTTACTCCCACTTTATGGATGAGGAGACTGAGATTCAAAGCGTGTCAGTGACTTGTAACAGGTCACTCAGAAGTCTGTGGTCTTTCTTGAAGTTGTTTAGAGTAATGTATTTGTTCTGAATGCAGTGACTGAAAGTCATCTGGCAAGAAGCCAGACTACATTCAAAGTCTTTTCATACACATTTTACTTGGATTACTTTGAAAGATAATTTTTCTTTTTGGCAGAGTATTAGTCTCTGTAAATTCTGTATTTGTCAGGTGAGATTGTAAAGCCGTCTTTTAGGAGAAAAGTTTTTATTACTGCTGCTGCAAACATAGTTACAAGTCATTGGCTGTTTATTAAATGCCAGGCACAGTGTTGATTGTTTCATGTACATTATGTCCACTGATTCCCACAGCCACACTATGAAGTGGAGATACAGATGAGGAAAATGAAGCTTGAGAGTTTGCATAGCTACCTATTACAGCACACAGTGGAGATCCACAGTGTTAACTAAGATGGATTTCTTGTTAACTAAGAAACCCAAGAGCCAGGCCCAGAGGTGTGTATGTAGCTTGTGATGTATGACCATATATCCAAATGCTCCTTCCTACTCAGTGCTTTTTTATTTTGATTTTTTATTTTTGAGATGGAGTTTAACTCTTGTTGCGCAGGCTGGAGTGCAATCAATGGCATGATCTCGGCTCACAGCAACCTCTGCCTTCCACGTTCAAGCGATTCTACTGCCTCAGCCTCCTGAGTAGCTGGGATTACAGGCATGTGTCCCCATGCCCAGCTAATTTTTTGTATTCTTAGGAAAGACAAGGTTTCTCTATGTTGGTCAGCTTGGTTTCGAACTCCCTACCCTGGGTGATCTGCCTCCTTCGCCTCCTAAAGTATTGGGATTATAAGCATCAGTGCTTAGCATTGTTAATATTTTCCCAAGCTTAGACCTCTATGGCAAGAGCAGAACTATGGGGAAGAAAGGCACTGATAACTGCACTAAATAATAGTGTTTATGAAGAGATATTTGTCATTTATAGTTGATAGCATTCAGCCATCAATCCTTATCTTTTTAATGATGTTTTTTTAACGAACTCTTAAGTAGGGAGAAGAAAGTTTGTCTTATTTTTAATTACTTAATCATTTGATTACTTATACATCCAGACTTTTCAGTATGCAAATTAAAAAGATGTTAAGAGCACGCATTCCACCAAAAAGTTTCATAAAGTATAATATATAACTTTGATTAAATTTTAAGATAGAATTAGGATGCGCTCATATAAGAAGCCCTGGATTGAACCAAAGTTTGGTTCAGTTGTTTTGCTAAGGTAAATTACTTTGATAGCCCTTTCTAAGGTGCGCTTAAATAGTACAGGTGTGCTTAAGTACTACAGGTGTGCTTAAATTTGGTAGGAGAGAGACGAGTCAGTATGAAAAAGAGGAGATGGAATACTCTTAGATTGTAGTGCTGAAGATTTACTTGTCCATATATTCCTCTGTTTCATATTTCTCTTTTTTGTTACCACCATTCTTATTTATCATTTTCAAGTTGAATGAAGAGAAGAACAGATTGAAAAAAACAGATTTTGGCCCACAGGTCTTGTGATAGCAAAAATATAACTATCACTTCACTTTGGTTTATGTATCATATGTGAGAAAATCTTATGTACAATAATTAGTTTTACTCCCCTGACCCCATGTGTAAAGGCACTGCTAACCTGGATATTTGGTGAAATACACTCCTGAACACATAACATTTTTTTCCTATTAACTGATTTAGAGGTAGTTTTATATAACTGCCTGGGGACATGTTATTTGATCAAAGATATATTAGGAAAGACAAATAATGTTTGTAGATTTTATTTATTTATTTTTTATTGCTCAACAAATTGGCTTAAAAACATTCCATGGCTCTGAATAATTTCTAAATAATGTCTCAGGAAGAGTTAGATATAAATTAGTAATCAACCACAAGTTGTTAGGAAACTAAATTTAAAAAATACTTCCTATTGAAAGGTAATGTAGATGTAGGAGAGTGCATATAAGTGCACTTTGCCGATTTTTCACAAAGTGAATGCTCCTGTGTAGCCAGCAGCTGGATCAATAAGTTGAACATTACTGGCACCCCTGCACATCCCTCATGCCAGCTGCTAAGCATTCTCCTCTTGTGAAAGGTGACTACTCTCCTGACTTCTAACAGGATAAATTAATTATGTGAGTTTTGCATGCTCTTTATGACTAGAGTCACAGGGTATGTACTTCTTAGTATTTAGCTTAGAAGGTCAATTTTCAAAAATATATCTTACATGCTTCAGCCCTCAAGATGAGGAAGCCTTTTATTTAGGTAAAGAGAGAAGGCAGTTTGTGATGGGGACGGGTTGGAATATGTGAAGATATGTCACCAATATAGTGCTTCATACAGGATATTGCCTCTTTCCTTCTCTCTTCTGCTGGTGGAAAAATACCTTCTTGGTATGTGGGAAAGTAGGATTCACCCTAGAAAAAAATGGGTAAGTAGGTTTTGAACCTTGACCTAGTTGTTTGCCTCTTTATCAACCAGATAGGAACTGCCTCTCTAACAACCTACCTATGCCCCACCTACCTACACTCATGTATATATACATATATATCTGATCGTTTTGAGTACGTTTCTGTATATATGTGTAAGTATGTTTCATGAGATCATTGACATATTTCTAGGGCATATCAAGGAGCACTTCCATTTCTGACTCAGAGTGTGGCCTTGGTAGGATGCCTGAGGTAATTGTGGGAAACTGTCCCAGCCGGTCCAATTGGGTAAGGAGGCTTGCTCAAGGACATGCGTGGCTTAGGAAATAATCTTTGCTCTGTAAAAACTGGAAAATCTGAAAAAGAATTCTTTGAGTCCTTTTGTTTCATAAGCCACCACTGAGACGGCTTGAGTATCATTTGAGGAAAAAGCATTGTGATCCTTTAGTGTTAAGCTGTCTTCCCTTTTCCGACCCCACTTGGAATTGGGCATATCTTCCCTCCCCTGATTCCTCTTGGAATTGGGGCATCTGTCCTATTTCTGTTCCCCAGTTGCAAATTCCATTACATCCCAATCTTAAAAAAATAAAGTTGCTAATCATGTTCTCTCAGATATCTAGTTTACTGAGAGATAATTTTTCACCATTTTCAGGTTTTGGTTTGTAAAGTTTAGTGTGAGTCTTACCTAGTTGTTGACTAGTATGCATTGTCACTAGATTAACCCTCATGAGAGCAAAGACTTTGTTTTGATGCCAGTTGTATCTCCAGTACATAAAACAGTGTTTGGTAGCTTGTGGATCCTCAAATATTTGTTATTCAGTGAATAGATCTAGCAAGCAGTATATTATTAAAGTTTATCTGTGTTCTGAATTTCCTTGAATGTTCTTGTTTTGTGCCTTTCACCAGACTTAATTGGTCCATAAGAAAATGAAGATGGTGACAATGGCTATACAATTAATTATTCAATGTTATCAAAGCCTCTTGGGACTCCTCTTCCACCCTGCAAAGCACAGGGACCTAGGCCTATCAGTTTTTAATATGGTTCTGTTTGTGCTCAATATGTATTGGGTAAATTTAATCGAATTCTATGTGCAGTTTTAGAATACCAACTAATTTTTTTTTTTTCTACTACAGCCTACTTGGGATCATTTGCCCTATTGCTGGCATTAGGAAAGATAAGCTAAGATTAAAATCTGTCAATCCAGTTAGCCAGCAGCAGTACTAGAAAGTGTGGTAAAGGAGGTTTAAGGGGATCCTTTGTAAAATTTAGAATTTTAACTACTCAAGCCATTATTCTCTCTTGTAACTAAAGATAATGGAGTTGGCTTTACTGATTTATCTTCTGTCCTTCCATTGAGCATAATTATGGTTAATGTTAACTGCTTCAAGCTTTTTAGGTGAAGATTTTATGAAATGCAACATGCTATCTATCACCAGGAACTTACTGTTGTTGTTTAGCTGAAATATTTCTTACTCATTGTTTTGCTGCTTTCCTTGTCGTTGTACCAAATAATCACAATATTGCTCAGAATTGTTAAAACACCCTCAAGGTCACCTCTGCTTCCAGGACGGTGATCTTTAAGCATTCTTTGCTTTGAGTAGCCAACCCAGATTACCTTGGAAATCCATTAGGGATCATTCCAAATTGTCTGGTAAAATCATGAGTGGTTTTGATATGCAGAGTTGGGTTATTGTGCTTGGACTTGGAAAGGTTATATTGACAATGATGACTTCAGTGGAACTCCGATACTTCCTTAAAGAAGATTGCTGTTATCAGAATTTTGAGAATCGTCTCTTTAGTGTTCCTGTAATAAAGATCAAATTTTATTCCTAAACTATACTACTTCTATTATTTTAAGTTGTTGAATTTTTCTTTTTGTCAGTTTTTCCCAGATTGTTGATGTCTTACAAGTACCTACTGTAATTATATTCTTTAATTTTTCT